GTGGGTGGTTGGCGCTGTGTTGTGGGTGGTAGTGGGTGGGTGGCACTTCGTTGTAGGTGGTTGTGGGTAGATGGCGCTGCGTTGTGAGTGGTTGTGGGTGGTGGGCACTATGCTGTGGGTGGTTGAAGGAGGTTGGCGCTGTGGTGTGGGTGGTAGTGGGTGGTTTGCTGTGTAGTGGGTAGTGGTTGGTTGGCGCTGTGTTGTTGTTGGTTGCGCTTTGTTGTGGGTGGTTGTGGGTGGTTGAAGGAGGTTGGCGCTGTGGTGTGGGTGGTTGTGGGTGGTCGGCGGCGGTGTGGTGTTGTGTTGGTGTGGTGGTGTGTTGATGTGTTGGTAGGGCGGTCTGGTGGTCTGGTGGTGTGGTTGTATGGTGGAGAGCTTGGGCAACTTACCTCATTATGTGCTCTTAACTTCGGAATCGCCACCAAAGCCGAAAAGGGGAATAGCCCCCTGGAGAGCAGACCCATACACAGGCGACGCGCTTTTGGGGCTAGGGTCGGTATGGCAGATAGTGTTAGCAGCACAGTGGAGAGGTCTGCGACTGACATCTGCATGGAGGGTGGAGGTTGTTAGAGGTGGCAAAGGATGCAGAGCTGATATCAAGGACTGAGAAGAGTGACTGCACATCACACACATCACACGTCACAATACATCATACAGCTCATACACCTCACACCCTAACATACAAACCGTCACGCACATACGTATGAAAATACAAATACACACTCTCACACGTCCCACCTCAACCTCACACCTCACACAAACCCGCAGAAACACTCAAACTCCCACACTTCATATACACGCACCCACGTCACACACCCTCATTCACCTACTACAATCTCCCTCCCCCAACCTCACACTCCTCCCCACCCCTCCACCCCCCCACCCCCACCTAACACTCCCCAAACCCTCACCTCCTGTGTAACCGCCCCCCCCAGCACCATCTCATACCGCCTCCTCTGCTCCGATAGCACTTGCTCCAGCATCAGATCAGCTACACTGGGGCAGGCGGGCAGCATCTGCCACAGAGCCTCTAGCACCACAGCCAGACCGTCAGGGGGAGCGCCGCGCAGCTGTTGGGGGTGGGGGTCAGGGTGTGTGGTGTGTGTGTGTGTGTGTGTGTGTGTGTGGCGGTAGGGGGTGGAAGTGAGTGTGGGGATGGAGGATGAGGAGTTGAATTAATACACATATAGGCCATATAAAGAGGCGGTTCAATACACATCATGTGAACAATACACACTGCGAACATGGCCATGGGGACATGGGAACAAAGGAACCAAGTGTGGGCGTAGGGCATTACCTTCCTGCGCCACGCGAGCACCACTCTCGCCAAAGCCCTGCTAGCTGCCCCACTGCCCCCACTCCCACTGTTAATACTCGACTTGAGAATCACGCGCAGAAGGGCGGGCAGGTCTGCGCAGCCTAGAGATCCTAGGGCCAGCTCCGCCACCCGCAACACCGCCTGCCACAGGTCCGCGCTGAGCGGCAGCTCTGCCAGGGTTGCCAGCACCTGCAAAAGTGTGGAGGGTCTTCTGTCTACCAGTGCGAACAGCTGCGCGGAGAGCTCCTCCACCCCGTCCATGTTGAACATGGCGGGCAGGATGTCTAGGAATGGCTCTGGCTGGCGCAGGGACTGGAGGTGGCGCAGGAGCACGCATCCCACGCCAGCATGTACGAAGGACACGTCGCGCACATAGGAGGCAACAGCACGCAGGGTGTATAGATCGCGCTCCTCCACCGAGGCCCTGGCGAGCAATCCATCTACCACTGCGACGACGGACTGGTTGTCGGCTTCATCTTCGATCAGGAAGCGGGCCTGCTCGAGGGCGTCGGCCAGGCTGTAGGAGCGGAACAGGTCCTGCCCCGGGTACTCCATCTGCCTATCCTGCTACCTGTCTTTGAGTGTGGATGTGCGAGCCCCGTTGCACGCTTACTGCTAGGAGTCGATGCCAGGATCGCTGGCTCTGGTGCAATTCCTGAGTCTTTGCCCGTCTCTAGAAGTCACTGTACACAGCTCCTAGGATGACTTTCAGGCCAACAGGCGTTGCAATTGAGCACTGGGCTGCGCACAACCAGGCAAGGGTGTGTGGTTCCCTTCGCAACATGCCAAGCTAAAGGAGCTCGCCGAAAGTCGCTGCTGGAAAAAGTCGAGAGCATGCATGGAACTGCCGTAATCAACCCTTTAATTTCTTTATATACTGCATGTATTCCTATCATTCAACAGGAGTAATATCCTCACGCCCCGATAGCTCAGTCGGTAGAGCATTCGGCTGTTAATACCTAATTAGTTATTAGAGCAAACGTTGTTACCGAAAGGTCGGGAGATCGAGACTCCCTTGGGGCGCTACCTTTTTTGCCCTTTTTCTCGGGATTCCTTTTTTATGCTGAGTCGACTGTAAGAAGCGCACACTTGGTGGGACAGCGAGCGCGAAAGAATGGACAGTTCTTCCCAAATATTCCCCGCGCCAGATCTGGCTTCTTTTGTCTTTTGACCTTACATTCTGTGGTTCGATGCACGAAAAGGGGGACGTTTGTCGAGTCACGCGAAAGAAGTCACAACGGGAGGCTGCAGCTTCAACTCAGTACTTGCTGCCAAGATCCATCCCCTTTGGCTCCACTGTACTCGTCTTCTCTCTCCAATCCGCACAATAGGATCCACGGAAGAAGGTGCAAGCTCCATTACGCCAACTCTTCCCATCCCTAGTGTCTCTCATTCGAGGCGACCAGGATGATGAGGGCCTCCGTATTCGCCGCGCTGTTGTGCGTTTTGCAATGCGCAGTCGCTTTCAATGCGCCGACCATGTTCAAGACCATGGCGCGCCAGGCTTCCACGGTCATCCCCAAGCTGCGCTCCTCGCGCTTTTTGCAAATGGTGCTGACCGAGAAGGCTCCCAAGATGGATGCTCCTAAGATGGGCGGTATGTTCACCAACTCCTCTCCCGACACGAAGAGGGTGGTGCCCACCAACATGGAGGGCAAGACCAAGTTCAAGGTCGTCTACGTCGTGCTTGAGTCGCAGTACCAGTCCTCCCTGACTAAGGCGTGTAACGCTATTAACGAGGGTGAGCAGGGTGTGGCCGTGGAGGCTGTGGGCTACCTGCTGGAGGAGCTGCGCAGCCCCGCCGTGCTGGAGCAATTTAAGGCCGATGTTGCCGATGCCAACATCTTCATCGGCTCCCTCATCTTCGTGCAAGAGCTCGCCGACAAGGTAAACAATTAAATCAGTGATTTATATCCCGAGCCGCACTAATTCTCTACTCCCAACCCTCCTCTCCCAATCCTCCTCTCCTCTCCCTCCTCTCTCTCCTCTCCCAACCCTCCCAAGGTGGTGGACGTGCTCGCCCCTAACAGAGACCGCCTCGACGCCGTGCTCATCTTCCCCTCCATGCCTGAGGTGATGCGCCTGAACAAGGTGGGTTCGTTCTCGATGCAGAACCTGGGCCAGTCCAAGTCCGTCATCGGCGACTTCATGAAGAAGAAGAAGAAGGAGGACGGCTCCTCGTTCGAGGAGGGCATGCTCAAGCTGCTGCGCACGCTGCCCAAGGTGCTCAAGTTCCTGCCCTCCGATAAGGCCAAGGATGCCCGCTCCTTCATGATGTCCTTCCAGTACTGGCTAGGCGGGTCTCCCCAGAACCTCGAGTCGATGCTTCTCATGCTCGCCAAGGACTTCGTCGAAGGCGCCACCGTGTCCGCCTCCGCCATCGCGGAGCCCGTGCTGATCCCCGACAAGGGCATCTGGCATCCTTTGGCTCCTAGGGTGTTCGAGACCAACGAGGAGTACATGAACTGGTACAACCTCGAGCACTGCCCCTCGGCCGGCATCGACGCCAAGAACGCCGTGTCGGTGGGCATCATCCTGCAGAAGTCGCACATCAACACCAAGGACGAGTGCCACTACGTCGCGATGATCTCCGAGCTCGAGGCCCGCGGCGCCAAGGTGGTGCCCATCTACTCGGGCGGTCTGGACTTTTCGGGCCCCATTGAGGAGTACTGGTACAAGGCAACAGGCACCGGCGCCATCGTGGACTCAGTCATCAACCTGACCGGCTTCGCGCTGGTCGGCGGACCTGCCTCCCAGGACCACCCCAAGGCCATTGCGACCCTGAAGAAGCTCGACAAGCCCTACATCTGCGCAGTCCCGCTGGTTTTCCAGTCCTTTGAGGAGTGGCAGAAGTCTGAGTTGGGTCTGCACCCCATCCAGGTGGCGCTGCAGGTGTCTCTGCCCGAGATTGACGGGGCAATCGAGCCTATCATCTACGCGGGCCGCGAAGGGGCCACTGGCCGCTCTGTGCCTCTTTCCGACCGTGTGGAGCTGCTAGCCAACCGTGCGCTCAAGTGGGCCAACCTGTCCAAGAAGACCAATGCCGACAAGAAGATCTCCATGACCGTTTTCTCCTTCCCCCCCGATAAGGGCAACGTCGGCACTGCCGCGTATCTGGACGTCTTCTCCTCCATCCACGCCGTTCTGGGTGAGATGAGAGATGTCGGCTACGACACTGGGGACCTACCTGCCACCTCCAAGGAGCTGATGGAGATGGTGCTGCACGACGTGAACGCGCAGATCAACTCCCCCGAGCTGAACGTGGCCTACCGCATGACCGTGGCCGAGTACGAGAAGATGTGCCCCTACGCCCACGACCTGGAGGATAACTGGGGCCCCGCTCCGGGCCACCTCAACACCGACGGCAAGGACCTGTTGATCTACGGGAAGCTCTTGGGCAACGTCTTCATCGGCGTGCAGCCCAGCTTCGGCTATGAGGGCGACCCGATGAGACTGCTGTTCTCCAAGTCCGCCTCTCCCCACCACGGCTTCGCGGCCTACTACACCTACCTGGAGAAGATCTTCGACGCCGACGCAGTGGTGCACTTCGGCACCCACGGTTCTCTGGAGTTCATGCCTGGTAAGCAGGTGGGCATGTCCGGTACCTGCTACCCGGACAGACTGATCAACACGGTCCCCAACCTTTACTACTACGCTGCCAACAACCCCTCCGAGGCCACCATCGCCAAGCGCCGCGCGTATTCCGCCACCATCTCCTACCTCACCCCCCCTGCCGAGAACGCCGGCCTGTACAAGGGTCTCAAGGACCTGGGCGAGCTGGTCTCTTCCTACCAGTCTCTTCGTGAGAACTCCCAGCGCGGGGCGGCTATTGTCAACTCGATCGTGTCCGCCGCGCGCACCTGCAACCTCGACAAGGACATCAAGGACCTCCCCGCCGAGTCTGACGACGCCAAGACAATGACTATCGAGGCCAGGGACCAGGTCGTGGGCCAGGTGTACCGCAAGCTGATGGAGATCGAGTCCCGCCTGCTGCCCTGCGGCCTGCACGTCATCGGTGTGCCCCCCACCGCCGAGGAGGCCATCGCCACGCTGGTGAACATCGCCGGCATCGACCGCGCGGAGGAGAAGATCAAGGCTCTGCCGCGTATTATCGCCGAGTCCCTGGACCGCAAGATCGAGGACATCTACCGCAACGCGAACAACGGCGTCCTCACGGAGGTCACGCTGCTGCAGCAGATCACCGAGGCCACCCGCACCTCCGTACGCGCCATGGTGATGCGCTCCACCGACAAGCAGGGCCGCGTGACCGAGGTGGCGCCTCTGTTCAAGGGCGCCGCCAACCTGTTCAACGCATTCTCGGGCGGCTCCCCGCAGAAGAAGGCCCTGGCGGACGGGGGCTTCAACGACGTGTCCGAGGAGGACCTCAACCCCCTGTTCGAGTACCTCAACTTCTGCCTCAAGCAGGTGGTGGCTGACAACGAGGTGGGGGGCATGCTCAACGCCCTGGACGGCAAGTACATCATCCCTGGCCCTGGAGGAGACCCCATCCGCAACCCCGATGTGCTCCCCACTGGCAAGAACATGCACGGCCTCGACCCCCAGTCCATCCCCACCACTGCGGCTGTGGAGGTGGCCAAGACCGTGGCCGACAGACTGCTCGAGCGCATGAGGGAGGACACTGGCACATACCCTCAGACCGTCGCCTTCACCCTGTGGGGCACGGACAACATCAAGACCTACGGCGAGTCGCTCGCGCAGGTGCTCATGCTCATCGGCGTGATGCCTGTGTCCGACTCTTTGGGCCGGGTGAACAAGCTCGAGCTCATTCCCCTGGAGGAGCTGGGCCGCCCCCGTGTAGATGTGGTGGTCACCTGCTCGGGTGTGTTCCGCGACCTCTTCATCAACCAGATGAACCTCCTAGACCGCGCCGTGAAGATGGCCGCCGAGGCGGATGAGCCTCTGGAGATGAACTACGTGCGCGCGCATGCGATCGACCAGGCCAAGGAGTTCGGCGTGACCATCAGAGACGCCGCCACGCGCGTGTTCTCCAACGCCGCCGGCTCGTACTCCGCCAACGTGGGCCTGACCCTGGAGAACGGGGGCTGGGAGGACGAGAAGCAACTGCAGGACCAGTTCATCAACCGCAAGGGCTTTGCGTTCAACGCCGACAAGCCTGGGGAGATGGACATGCAGACCGATTTGTTCAAGGCGTCCCTGAAGACTGTGGATCTGACTTTCCAGAACCTGGACTCTTCCGAGATCTCCCTCACCGACGTGTCTCACTACTTCGACTCGGATCCCACCAAGGTGGTGAGCACTCTCAGAGACGACAAGAAGAAGCCTGCCTCCTTCATCGCCGACACCACCACGGCCAACGCGCAGGTGCGCACGCTGTCCGAGACCGTGCGCCTGGACGCCCGCACCAAGCTGCTGAACCCTAAGTTCTACGAGGGCATGCTTAACAGCGGCTACGAGGGGGCGAGGGAGATCACCAAGCGCCTCAAGAACACCATGGGGTGGTCTGCCACCTCGGGCGAGGTGGACAACTTCATCTACGAGGACGCCAACGAGGTGTTCATAAAAGACCCCGCGATGCGCCAGAGGATGCTGGACACCAACCCCAACGCGTTCAGAGACATGGTGACCACCTTCTTGGAGGCCAACGGCAGAGGCTACTGGGACACGGACGAGGAGAACCTGGAGCTGCTGCAGGAGCTGTACCAGGAGGTCGAGGACAGGATCGAGGGCGTCTAAGCGTGTACCCACCTTAGCGTTAGGATTATGTCCCAAATTTAGGGGGACCGGTGTCCTCTAGGGCTGCGGCTCATGTTCGTGTCGTGGCAGCGCCACTCGGCCATGCATGGGGTGTCACATAGAAATGTTGTCCATATCCGCCCACATCCGCTCAGAATTGACGGAATTTTCAAAATCGGGAGTAACCTTAAAAGTAGTAAATTACAATCGTATTTCTTTGCTCTACATGCTGGATTGATGCTTCAAGGTATTGTAACAGAGTAAATAAAAGGTATGATACAACCAATCGCGACCTTTCAAGCCAATCG